CACCAGCTCTAAATCTCTAGCCATGTGATTTGGGCAACTCGCTCAGTGGAGCATAGTCCGGGTGTCCCCTTCAGTGAAGAGAGGACAAGGGTGTGTCTCCCCGTGGGTTTTTGGGGGATAATACATGAGATAACCTCTATACCTACGTAGTGCCTAATGCATAGTAGCTTATTTCTGGTTGCTTTTTTCCTGCGTTTCTGATTGGCCTTGCACATTCATTCATTCATTCATTTACTGCACACTTCATTCATTTACTACATGTGTTGAAAGTTTGCCCTGCAAAGAGCTCTACTGCAGTAGACACCAGATGTGTTTGTAAAGGAAAGAGAGGTGGCCCTGGCTTGTGACAGCTGTGGCACCATGGAGGCCAACGACCAGAGGTCAAGCTAGAAGCCACACTGATGGACACAGGGCAGGAGCAGAATGGGACGTTCTGTGGAGAGGGGACCACAGAGGTGGGCCTCCCCCATGTGGTAGGACCAGTGCAGGCACCCCTAGGCAGGGGACAGTCATGCCGACCCCTGAGAGATGAGAAGGAACTCGAGTAACATGATCCAGACTGTGTTGAAAAAATTTATTCAGGCCCTGGCCGGGGTGGCTCAGTGGGCTGGGCATTGTCCTGCAGAGGGAAAGGTCGCCGGTTTGATTCCCCATCAGGGCACGTGCCTGGGTCGTTGGTCTGGTTCCCGATCAGGCATGGTTGGGAGGCAACTGATGGATGTTTCTCTCTCGAGTGGAGGTTTCTCTCCCTCTCTTTCTCCCCCCCTTCCCCTCTCTCTAAAAATAAGTAAGATATTTTTCAAATATATAAAAAGATTATGCGGGCTGCCTGTGGAGAGAGAAAGGGAAGGAAAGGGGCAGGAGAGGACGTGGAGACGCCATGTAGGGGCTGTTGGAGAAATCTGACAGGAAGCGACAGTAGCTTAGGTGAAATAATGTCTCTGGAAACGGGCAGATGTGGTCACACCTGGGAGACAGTTTGGACACACCTGGTGAGAGATCAGGTGTTAGAACGTCGAGGTGTACATGCTCACGCCCTGGTGTCTGATTGGGCAGCTGGGCGGACGGCCTTATTTATTAAGATGGGTGATAGTGGAGGCTTCCGTTCTGAGCTCAGCATGGACTCCTAGAGTGTGACGATGCTCCGAGGTTTCCTGCAGTGGGGGGGGGGGGTGGTTAGAGAGCACTTGTCCGAGGAAGGCATTCTGGGCGCTAGGAGGGCAGTGCCCAGAAAGGGGCCCTTGAGGGCGAGCCCTGTCCCCGAGGTACTGGGCTTAGTGACATAAAAGCACAAAGGCTAGGGGAGGAAATGGATGTCTGTTGTTACAAGGTGTTTATGTATGAATTGGTATAATATTATTTGAAGATAGACTGTGATAAACTAAAGAGCTTATATTGTAAACCTTAGGACAGCCACTAAAAATAAGGAAAAAAAGATAATCATTTAATAGTGGAAATAAAATGGGAATCATCAATAAAAAAAGGCAGAATGAGAGAGAAAAAAGGAACAAAACGTATGGAACAATAAAAATCAACTAGAAAGACGGTTCTGATTGAGTCAATAATTACTTTAAATGGTAATGGCCTAAACACCCCACTTAAAAGCAGAGATTTTTGGATTGGACAAAAAAGCAAGACCTAATTATATACTAGTTCCAAGAAAACCATTTAAATATTGATATATAGGTAGACAAAAAGTAAAAATGTATACTATGCAAACAAAAATCAAAACGAAGTTAGAATGGCTGTAATATTGTATCAGAAAGTAGAATTAGGAATGAGGAATAGTGCAGGAGATGAAGGGAGATATTAGCTAATAGAAGGAGTCAGTTCATCTGCAAGATGCTGTAATCTTAAAACTGTGTGTACCTAAAAATACAGCTTCAAGATATATAAAAAAAAAACGTACAGAAGGATTTATAACGTTAAATGTTTACGTTAGAAAGGAAGAAAATCTCAAAATCTCATTTAGTCTGTGGGACCGTGCTAAAACTATGTTCTGTCGCCATCTTCATTTTACCACTGAGCAAACTGAGGGCCAGAGAGGCTGGGACTCGCCAAAGTGGCGGAGCCGGGCTTTGAACCCAGAGCGGCGGCCCACCTCCAGCGCATTCCTTTCTACTGCAGATCTGAATCTGTAGGCTGAGCGTTCCTTCTGTGTGCGAAGTAGACCGGGCACAGAGGGATGAAAGAAAGGCAAGACAGCGCCTGGTAGATTTTCTAGACTGCGGGGAAAAGCGGATTGCTCTCTGCCGATCGTGTCCACAGGGAGAGCAGTTGGCCGGCTCCCGAGTCCCCCACGGTGGCCCTCAGCACTGGGAGGCTGGGGAGTCGTCTGCAGGGCTCGGAGGGAGAGGCAGCCGGAAGCCCAGGGGGCCCTGCCCGGTCAGGCTCAGAGCAGGAGAGGCGAGAGACAGGCTTCTCCAACACGAGTCCTTGGCAATGTTCCACCAACCAAGAATCGATTCAAACTAGAGAACTTAAGAAGCAGCGAGTGGCCCTGGCTGGCGTAGCTCAGTGGATTGAGTGCGGCCTGGGAACCAAAGTGTCCCAGGTTCGATTCCCAGCCAGGGTAAATTCCTGGGTTGCAGGCCATGACCCCCAGCAACTGCACATTGATATTTCTCTCTCTCTCTCTCTCTCTCTCTCTCTCTCTCTCTCTCCCCCCCCCTTCCCTCTCTACAAATAAATAAATAAAATCTTAAAAAAAAAAAAAGAAGCAGCAAGTGCATTTTCGTATAGCACTGATGCAAAAACAGTTATGGGGTGGAACCTCGGGAGCCTTGGCGATGTAAAAAGTAACATAACAAAACCAGGAGGTTGAAGAGAAGGCAAAGTAGAAGGTAACATGAAGTATGACTATGTCAGTCTCCTCGTCTTTACTGTGACTCCGGAGATACTGTATAAAGTTGAAATACGCTGATAAAAGAAGCACCCCGCTTCCCTTCTCTCTCTCTCTCTACACACACCCACACACACATAATAAATATGAAACATTTTTAACTTCAGAGAGACCTCTTATGAACTATGTGGGGGAAATCTCCACATTTTTCCGAAGTGGAATGATTACTTGGGTCGCACCTTCATTTTTTTCTAGCAAATTTAATTAAAATTACATGTAATGGTTTACATTTAAAATGGACATAGAACACAACCTCAGTTTCTGGAAAATGATTTTCATTTTTCTCTCCTCTTGATACACGCGGATACAGACATGTCTGGACTGTTGTTCAGTCGATGTGAACTGGTTATCTCTGTGGTGGAATTTTAAGATGATTTATAACTTTCTTTTCGTCCTGTTCTGAGTTGTTTTTGCTTTTAAAATAATCATGGCATTCTTTGAAATTAAAAACTATTTTCAAAAGCGCACGAAGGATAATGTTTAAAGGTTTCAGAGTCGCTCTCCCAAATGGAGATGCCAAGGAAGCCGTTCGATGCGTGAGCCTGGAATTCAGAAGGGAGGTCTGGACCAGAAACTTCCGGTGTGGGAGTTGGCAGCACGTAGATGATCTTTTTCATATCTTACTTATTTATTTTTAGACAGAGGAGAAGGGAGGGAGAAAGAGGGAGAGAAACATCGATGTGCAAGAGAAACATCAGTCAGTTTCCTCCCGCACGCCCCCACCTGGGGACCTGGCCTGCACCCGGGGCAGGCGCCCCGACCGGGAATCAAACTGGCAACCTCTCCGTCTGCGGGACGACGCCCAGCCCCCCCTGAGCCACACCAGCCGGGATAGCACCTAGATGATTTCTGAAGCTCAGAGGAGTGAGTGTGATCATCTTGGCCGTGTGCTCAGGACCCTGCTCTGGGCACCTCCATCACTTAGAGAGTAAGCGGAGGGGGGCCCTGCGTGAAACACAGAAACGCTCACGCTTTCTGGAGGTAGGACGAACGCCTACCTCTTAGCACTTGCAGAGAGCCAAGTGCTAAGTCGTGAAGCAGCCAGGCAGCTTTGGTGAGATGCTGAGTCGTCCACCTGGACTTCACTCCAGAACATGTTGTTCATGGAGTTGTCTGCTACTTTTCTTTTCCCCAGACCTCATGACTTAGAGAACTAGCCATTGCTTCTTCAACTCTTTTTGGAGAGTAATTTTAAGATCCCTAGAATATTTGGGGTTTGGCTGACATCAGGGTCCTTGAAGAGCTGCTGAATACTTTCAGCAAATGCGGACAGTGTTTGGAGAGCCCCTGTGTGGTGTTTAATGGGCCACAGTAGCTTCTGTTTGCTGAATGCTTTACTCGACTTGTGAGTTTAAAGAAGAGTAGCCTGTGGGACAGTTGATACGTACACAGACTTCACCATAACCCATTCCACTGGCAAGCCTTTCTCCTGATTAGTTGGAAGCCTTTCTTGCAAGGCTAAAAATTTAAACTCTTGAAACCTCGTTATCTGTCGATGAGAGGTCAAGTCCCGGAGACCAGAAGCTTAGGCTGTTTGTCTCAGCTCCTCCCCTGAGGACAGACAATGGCCGCTCAGTCCGCAGGCCTCCCTTCCGTAGCCTGGAGAGTCTGTCGTCCGTCCCTGGTTAATTTTAGGCCGGGCCCGTCATGGCGCTTCTCAGCTCTTTTGGGAGCTCGCGAAGCTCACGCGGGGCTGGAGCTGCAGCCTGCCCGTCAGTGGCCTTGGCCTCCGGCGGATGACGACTATTTCTGCCTGTTGCTGGGACCTGCTCCTGTCTTACGTAGCCTCTCTGTCAACATCTTGGCATTTAGCAGAGCCACCCCGGCCCTAATGCTTCTCCTGGCACCCTTCACGCCTCGGCCCCTGGTGCCAGGAGGGCCACACATGCCCCTGGGTTGCTCGGTTGCCTCCTGCCTCCGAGAAGTCGTTCTCGCTGCTCTCCTGGCCCTGGCACGTCTGCACCGGGGCCTTTGCACTGACGTCTGTTTGCGCAAGGAGGTCCATTCTTCAAGCTGTGCCGTACGTGCAGCCATAGGGTTTGAGGGAAGCAGACTTGGATGTGGATCTGATTAGTTTTCCGGTTTTCTCCCCTTCTAGGTAATCCTTACTAATATTCAAAACAGAAGCCCTAAGCCTGGCCCTGCTCCCCACGATCAAGAACTAGGCTTTTTCCTAGAAACAGGACTTCAGAGAGCCCATGTCCTCTATTTCAAAAATGGGTAAGCCTTCTTCGCTTTTTCTAAAGAAGGAGAATAGAAAGCTTCACAACACTGCCTTCGGTTTAGTTATTATGACAGAAACGATTTTAAAAAGGGACTGTAATTGGGATTTCTTTAAAAAAGAACGAACACAGGCTCGCGCTTCTCCCTGCCCCGCCGCCCGGCGCGGTCACTTTCTCACGAGAGTCGAAGGTGGGGGGCGGGAGGGGGTCCTGTGTAAGGAGCAGCCAGACCAGAGGGGGGACGTCTGATGGGAACCGGGCTTCATGCTGCCCTTCCCCTTGGGGATGGTGCTGTGCGGCTGCCGCCCCCGCCCCTCCCCCCCCCGCCCGCCCACTCCCGGGGTTGGGGGGGAAAGTAGCGAGTTGGAAACCCGGCCCACGGGATCCCCCTCCTTGGAACGGCTGATCCATCCGGGGACTTGCATTGGCCGAGTCTCGACGGTACTTGGGTGAACGTGAGTGTGACCGCGATGTCCCACGAGGGCCTCTTCCCCTCGGCCCGCCTGTGCAGGGCGGTTTCAGAGCGGCCCGAGAGCCCGAGTGTGAGGGACGGAGCTCGCTGACGCGTTTGATGTCTGTTTTCCTCTCTGTGTTGTCTGATGAGAAACGCACGGTTCTGTGCCAACTCTGCTCAGCTGTCCCTTGTTTTGACATTGTGCTGCAGGATAGATGTGTATGAAGACCGACAGTAGGTATCCGGGTCCCCGCAGCTCCCCCCGGGCTGTGCATGGGCCCCCCCCCCCCCCCAGGCCTGGTCCCCTCCCTCTAGGACGCGGGCCCCAGCCTCAGGACAAATGAACAGTGGAGCCTCTCCCTCTTCATTGTCACGAGCTTCAAACCTTGGGGCGCAGCTCCGGGGAGTGGGGGTTCACCTTGCTGGGAGCGCACACTTATTTTTCAGACCCTCCTTAAACTGCGGACAAGGCCGGCTTTGCCGGAAGGCCAGTGGTCCAGATTGGCATCGCCACAGCTGGCGCCCCAAGGTTGGGAACGGCTCGGCGGCTTTGGCACAACGGCGTGCTCAAATCTGATCTCAGCCGACACCGACTGAGATCGTCTGAGTGATGGCGCATGTCCCCTGAGCCGAGTTTTGAGTTCTGTTTTCTTTGCTGTTTTAAACGGAGGGAGGGAGGGAGGGAGGGAACGTGGACCATTTTTCTAGCGGTCTGTTTCTTGTCCCTTTCACAATAAAAGGCGCCCATCACGGAGGATGCCCCAAGCACTGCTGTCCCTCCCTCTAACCTGTGAGTGTGTGGGAGGCTGCTATGCAAGTCCTGAGACAGGAATGAGCTCTCCCTGGGGGCTGTCGGGGGTGCCGCACCGGCCCCTTCTGTTGTTGCAAACGCACTGTGTGAGATTAAAGAGAGCCGGCTGGGCGGCACACCCTCACCCGCGAGAGCTGTCCACTGAGGAGGGAGGAACAGGGCCCTGGGGCTCTGACCTCCTGCTGTGAGACGCCCGCCGCCCACTGCCGTCCATCTGGAGAATGATGGTGACGAGAGCTTCATTATCTGTCACTCGATGGTGGATTCCATGCCGGGAGTTGCTTGCTGCCTCATGTCTCATTTTACCCAAGTTCAAGGAGAGCCACACTGACATAGCCACAGGCTTGTCGCCCTTCCCTCTGGGCTCTGAAGACCAGGGGTGACATCGGCTTGGCTGTTCTGCAGGGTCTTTGCGCGCTGCGGCGTCTGAAGGCTGGGCCTGCGCAGCGAGAGATTACTCTCAGGGGCGGTGGAGGGGGAGGCCAGCTTTGGGACCGCAACATGTGGACGTGAGGAGAGAAATCTGGGGGGTGGGGGTTTCGGACAAGCCAAGTGCCATCAGGGTTACTCGGGGCCCGAGAGCCACGCCGGGGGTCATGTGTCGGCGGGCACCCACGGTCAGCGTCCCCGGGGTGCCAGTGGAGGTGCACTGCTGCCCCTGAGCACCCGTGGGTTCCGCAGTTCCACTCCCGGTGCACCTGCTCCCTGGCTGTCTCATCCCTTTTCTGCTTCCTGCCTTTTAAAAATATGCAGAAATCCGAAAATCGTCTCCATGCTCTCCTGGCTGGTGTGGCTCAGTGGGTTGGGCATCGTCCCGCAAACCGAAAAGTCGCCGGTTTGATTCCCGGCCAAGGCACGTGCCTGGGTTGCAAGTCCAGTCCTGGGCTGGGGGCATCTGAGAGGCGGCCTTCTCTCGCACATCAGTGTTTCTCTCCCTCTCTTTCTCCTTCCCTTTGCCCCTCTCTCAAAAATAAATGAATGAAATCCTTTAAATGCATACGCATCCGGGATGGGTCAGCGGGTGCAGGTTGGCCGACCCCTGGGGCGGGGAAGTGTGGCAGAGGAGAGTTCTGCAGCGAGGGGCAGAAACTGACAGAGCACTTTCTTTCTGGGGGATATACTGAAGGATATTCCGCTTTGGGGGTGTCACCCCTGAGGACGTAATGAGTTACAGTGATCACTCTTATTCCTCGATGAGTCCCCATCCTTGTCAAGAGTGAGTGGTCCGGGAGCCAGACTGGTGCCCTTGAACCTCTCTCAGGGAGGACCTGAGCCCCGGACCGGCTCCCGGGCCCCTGCGAGCCCCTCAGATCCCAGTGACACTTTCGTGGACCTTTCCTTCGTCCTCCTCGACCCGCACAGCGGCATCTGGCTGTGCGCGCTGTGCACCTGTGGCGAGGCTGGCGGTGTGAGTGGCGTTGCCCCTGTTTCCGCCCGGGGACCCGGCTCCCACGTTCCGCCTTCAGGCCTTTTAGCCCTGCACCTCCGCGGACAAAACGTGGCCCCTCTGGGTGGAGGGGCTCGGCCGGACCCTCAGACAGTGGCCTCGGCCAGCGCCCTGCCCCTCTGTGAGGGCGCACCCGGCCCCTAGCACGAGGCCTCGCCAGGGATGCTCCCGGCCGCTGGTGCCCGGGGTGTCCCCATCACGCCCTTCCTTCTGTCTCGTCCACAGCCTGTCCCAGATCCTCTGCTCCTTCTCCTCGCCTCCCCCTTTTCCTTTCCCTCGCACCCTGGGTCTCCTTTCTGGCTGCCGCCCAGCCCCATGTGTCCCCAGGCACGGTCCGACCCGGAACGCACCCTCTTCTGTCTCACAGCTGTGTCGCTCATCCCTGGGGGTGGCCGCGGCCAGCCGGCTAAGGATGAAGAACCCTGCTCAGCCTCCGCACAGGGCGAGATCACAGAGCCTTAGCCTCAGGGGACCAGGACGGCACCTCCAGGGTTCCCCGGGCCCCGAGCCAGAGGACCCGATCTGGAACCCGCCCTTCCTCCTCCTCTCTGTCTGTAAAATGGGGCTCATCCATTTACGTAAGCAGGGCGCGGATAAAAAACACGTGTGGAAGCCCTGGGCAAGGAAGCGGCAGGCAGACAGGGAGTGGTACATGGCCACCTCCCACCATGGCGATGCCCGGCTGGCTTTCCAGCTGGACACGGGGCCGGGTGAAGGGCAGGCTCCCATGGACGGGGAAGTTCACGGAGCAGGCACCCCGTCACTCGCGTGATGGCTGAGCCTCACACCGCCAGCGTTCTCAAGAGGCAGCACGTATCGCCGCTGCTGTTTAACAGAGAGCGCTGCCGATGCACGGGGTCGGCTTGGGTAGCGCCCGGTCGCCGACGGCCATGCCGGCGTTCCGGACGGGGAGGTCGGCTGACTGCCCTGACATGGGGGTGCTGGCTGTTCTCCGGGTGGCCGGGAGAACAGCCCCAGCGTGGGGCCCCCTCAGCCTGCTGAGGCCAAGAGAGATGTCCCCCACCCCCACCCCCGCCCCGCCCCGAGTCTCTGCAGCCAGAACTGCTGGGGAAGCCACTTAAGTGGCACCTGGGACGGCACTTCTTTCCTGCAGCGTCGCTTCCCTGGGAGGCCTGGCCCGTCACCCCGTTACTAAGCAGTGCCCCCCATTGTTTGCTCTCACCGCACCCACTCATTTTCCCCCACTTACCGCAATTTGTCATTGCACACGTTGGTGAGCTTGTTTATCATCTGTCCCCCTCGCTAGGCTGCCCTGTCCTCCCCGAGAACCTGGACTGAGTTTCCCAGGTTCCCCAGTGAAGCACCAAGCGCGGTTCGGGCACGTGGCACACTCAGCCAACACCTGCTGGGCGCCGACCCCACCTGCCGCACCTGGGCCTGTGCCGAGGGGGCTGCGTGCCCGTGGGGCGTAAAGAGGCCGCCCTGGCTGGAGTCGGGGCTGTTATGGGAATCTCGTGGGTTCCTTGGGAACGGGTTAGATGGAGTGGGGACACGGCGAGCGTCAGATCTGGAGATGGGGAGGTCCAGGATTTCCCTTTGGATGCGCTGCGGTTGAGACGCCTGTGAGACAGACACGTGCCCTAGCGGACTCGTCAACCGGGAAGATACCTGAGCGCAGAGGGAGGGTGGAGCTTGACTTACAAATTGGGAGTTTCAGCAGTTGGCTACATTTAAAGCCCTGGACTGGATGAGGCCAGTGAGGGACAGAGGGCAGAGGGAGAAGCAAGGACAGCCCAGGACCCGGCGTGGAAACCCGCTCGAGTCAGATGTGGAATAAAGGGGGGGAACCCGTGGAGCCGCTGCCTGGGGCAGGAGGGCCACCGGCGGGATGCAGGGGTCACCTGCTTCGGACCCAGTCACTGCCTCGGGGAGTTTACACTTTGCCCAGGGAGACAGTCGGTAAAGGAGGCGATAGGATTCACGCAGTGTCACCCAGCTGGTCGGGGGCGAGCTGGTACCCACGCACCTTTCTCTGACACCCGGTCCGGCTTTCTCACCACTCGGACCATGCTGCCCTCGCCCAGTTAGGGCTCTTTTCTCAAAGCGGAGTACCTGGCAGTGCAAAGGCGTATACAGTGTCACAATTGGAAAATAAGGACTTTCGAAAGCCAGTGTAGATGTAACTATGTAATAAAAGGTGTCAGCCAATTTTCTCGTTTGCTTAAATGCATACTAGGTTTGCATTTAATGTCATCAAAACTTTATTACGGGAACAAAGGCATCTTTGTCCACTTTAATGACAAAACTCTAAGACCGCTTTCAGTG